CCATATGGAAAGTCCCTGAGTTAAGTCTCACAAGACACTTGCACGTATGAATCTGGGTGCACTAAGGCAGTTTATAAACAAGCGACCTGCACAGGAGACAGCTAATGCCACCCCCATCTGTCACCATTAACATCACCCATTGTTGTCATCTCTCTATAGAGAAAAGGGAAGTGAATAAAAAAAAAAAAAAAAAAAAGATAAAAGAAAAATCTATGCCAAATTTTTATAATATTAACACTTTCAAGTCCACAATAAACTGCAATACACACAAAAAAAAAAAAAATCCGTATTTTTACTGTTAAATACTATGTTAAGTAATTCTTTATAATTAGAATTTAATATCTCCTTAGCCAATGGTGAAATTAACATAATTTTATCACAAGTTGTAAGATATATTAATGATAGCTTCAAAATTAAAATTCTTCAGTCAAAAATGCCAAAATGTAAAATCACTTATAAATATTTATATAACATTTCTCAAAGCTTAAAAATCAGCTTATCCTTTATTTAAAACTTGGTTTTTAAGAACATTTATTTATATATTATAGACAGAATATATAGATTTTATATAGATTTATATATTATAGATAGATAATGTGCCATCAGATTCTTCATCACCACTATACTATACTATACTGCAGGTTGCTTAAATTGTAATTTGAATCATTTCTAGCTTATTTTCCCGTAGACTATAGTAACCAAAATATTGGATTTATCCCAAACAGAAAAAACATAGTGGCAAATATAATATGTAATATTGGTCAGACCTATACAATTATAATACAGGTCAGACTAATCCATTCAGAGCAATACATCTAACACAGGAAGTTCCATGTGTGTGATTTCTAGTAGTTGTCTTATAGCTATTCAGCTATATAAAAATTTTGAGGGAGAAATCTGAGAATGCAAATAACATTTAGTTTACAATAAATAATAGTTGTTAAAATTTTGGACTAGCAAGCCTATGTTTGAGCTAATTTTGCTATCATTAAAAAATAAAAAGTAACTTTTATTGCCATTATCTGAAGGAGGCTTCAAAATGAATGTACCTCTTCAAAAGTATAAAAAAGTGAAAAAGAAAACAAAAAGAACAACTTTCAGATCAACCATTGCATTTGACTTGTGATCAGTATTTATAAGTTTTATAAGTAGCCTTATATGGAAATATCCCACTACCCAAACTTATATATATATATATATATATATTTATTCTGTTTATACATTATTTTTACAGATACAAATATTTAAGTAAATGCTCTGTTTATAATAAACAGTATTAACTACATTTATTGGCCTGAATGTTCAAGAAATTTCATAGAAAATATGTGTCCTCCGACTTTGCTAACCAGACACTTCCTCTGTAGCTAAATAATATAGCATGTCAGGCCAAATGGCAGTTCCATGTAGGATACAGGTTTGTTTCCTGTCAGAGAACAGATATTTTCTATGAAATTTCTCAGACATTCAGGCAGGTAAATGTTGTTAATACTGTTTATTATAAACAGAGTATTTACTTAAATATTTGTATCTATAAAAATAACATATAAACATAAAACATATTAAAATAATTGTCAGACTTAGTCCATTTCACACACACACACATATATATATATATATATATATATATGGATAGAAACAGAACTTAATCTAACATCTTACTAACTTTTACACATTTAAGTGTGTAAAAGTTAGTAAGATGTTAGATTAAGATCTGTTTCCTACTTGTTCTTTATCAGATATAAGCACTATTTGAATAATTTAAAGACAATACTGCCTTTAATAATGGTTTAATAGCTAACATTTTAGTTACACTTGACTTGTATTAAATACTATTATTATTAAATAACTTTGTTAAAAACTGACACTTTTTTTAAAAGTCAGTTTCTTCCATATTTGTCATATATATATATATATATATATATATATATATATATATGACATGCAATAAAAGCATTTTTTTTTTACTTCAGTATCTCCATAAAAATGTAAGATGGTAGATTCATGATTCCAAGATATCTTCAAAGATATCTTAATTCATTATAGAGATTTTATGCAACCAATAGAGAAGAAATGAAAATTGCCAAAGTGCAGATCTTGATAATTAGTACTTGGAGGCAAATCATCATAGTTGCAACTAATAACACATGACATATAATGTCTAGAAAGTTCCTTTGTCATTTATAGTTTTTTTTTTTTTTATCATTTCACCCCAAGCAAGGCGATAATGTCAATAAGACGCAAGGGGTTACTAAGAGTGAAAGAAAATGAGAAAACTGTAGAAGGAACTGTAATCTCAATCCTAAACAGGAAACAAGGGATAAAGCTCTACCCCTGTTCAAAAGACTGGAGATAAGTGTGAACCAGGCAATAGGAAAACTTCTCACTTTAGTCTGATACTAAGCTATAACAACCAATGAGTATTGAACTCACTATACAGTTGTAATAGTCTACTACACTCTGCCTGCTATTAAGCCATGATAAAGCAACTCCTTTATATAATTAATAGGATGCTACAGTATCTTTTAAACTGTAGAGATCTGAGAGCAAGAATGATGCTTTTAATTTTGGGATACTTCAAACAATTATGGACTTGGTAGAGTTAATAAAAATTGAAGAAAATTAATTTAGATGCATATAAAAATATATCAACACACATTTATATAAGTGTGTTTGCATAATAGAATCCAGTTTGAGAAAAAAAATTAAATTCATGTATGGATAAGTCCAAAAATAATTTGATGGACAAGTACAGGGTGATTGAAAAGTAACTCCCTATTTTATGTATGATGGACTCTTACATCTAACTATAATTTTTTCAAGATGGGAGAATCCATCACACAAAAAATAGGGAGCTACTTTTCAAGCACCCTGTATACTTTTGATGATCGACATTAAAATGATCTCTGAAATGTACAAGTTCAATTTCCAGCTCAACTAAGAAAAAAAAAGGGTTCATTACAGATTTTTTGCTTCTATAACATGCACATTTAACATTTGCACACACCTTGCAGAAAAAAAATTACCTCCTAGTTTTATCACTTATATTTACAAACTTCAAGACATTATTAAAATTTATTCAGGGCAAGGCTCTCGTAGAATATGTGGGTAGAGTAAACATTATCAGTATAGAAAGAGAAATCAGCAAGCTGAGTTCAAATTTCAGTTTAGTCAGTTGCATTCACTTTCACACAAATGCCCTTGAGAATACATCTCTTCTCCCCGCTTAACTACAGGTCAAATAATAGTGTAGACTGGAGTCTCTAGCCTTGGCAACTGAGTTTAAGAGAAGGAGAACTCTGAATTTAAAACTGTGGAGAAGGTAATAGGAATCACTCCCCTATCATAGTGATTCAGAAATTAAGAAAAGCCATGAATGCCTACATATTAAATGGATATGGCATTAAGAGAGAAGAAAAAAATAAAAAAATAAAATAAAATTAAAAAGAAAATCATTAGAGAGAAATAGTAACAACAGTAGAAAGAGAGAAAGAAACTTGGAATATTGGGAGTAAGAAAATGAGAATGGATGGTAGTAGTAAGAGAAGAGAGGTATTTAAGGAAAAAGGTTAAAAGTGAGCGGAAGAACAATCATGAACCTTTTTTTCTTTTCTTTTAAATTTGGGAGGTGCAGGTTAAGGATATAAATAAATATGAAAATTGTATGAGTGATAGTAGAAGGCATATAAAAGCAAACATTTTTTTAAAACTAATGACAGCTTATTTTCTTTGCATCACATTTCAAAAAAAGATATTTAAAAAGAAAATGTGGCTTTGTGTACAACAGATAAATCAAACTAGAGATTATGTAAAAACATTTTTTTTTTTTTTTGCCCAGAAAAAAAATCTAAAAAAATAGTAATTATATAAACATTTATGGGCCTTTTCTTTTTGTTATTTAACAAATAGATATAAGCAACAAATGAGATTTAAGAATTTGAGGTTAGAACCACTCTCAAAAATAAAGAGTATGGTTTACTTTCTCTCAATTTAAGAAAACAATATTTTTTTAAAAAAATCGGTTCAAGATTTTTAAAAACAAGCTTCCTTTTCAAATTTGTAGAGAAAAATGGCAAAATAAAGTTATGCACACAAACACAAGATAATTATAAGCCTACATTATATAGATGTTCATGCAGAAATATACAGTTACCAGATTTTAAAGAGGAAAAAAACTGATTATTTGAAAGAGGCATATAGAAGAAAAATATCTTTTGCATTAAACAAACATTTCCAGCAGCCTGAGCACACACACACACACACACACACACACACACACACACACACAAAAAAAAAAATCCCTAAGTAAATTATCCCAATTTACTACTATGATAAAGTTAGGAGTCTGGGATGTTAACACCACCCCCCACCCCCACCCTAAAAAGAAAAAGTTATTTTAGGATCTATTTTAAAAAAATAAAATTAAAAAGAAAAAAAAAAAGTCTGCCTCAAATATTTTGCTCAGAATTAATTTTTTAAAAACAGTTTTTTTTTTGTTTTTTTTTTTAAATGTGGACTCGGCAGGTTGACTGGCTTTCACATAAAAGAATTCAAATGAAATAAAGAATGAAAAATGAGATGACAAACAAAATGAACATATATATGCACACACACTATATATCTCCTATTTTAAAATTGTGATCTCTTTGTCTTTGCAACTGTACTCCAATTTAGAAAAAAAATTAATAATAATACATGATTTATGAGTGTAGGCTCGAGTTAAAAGTGTGAGTGTAAGTGAGAACATATTTTTCTTTTCACTGAAAGAAGGACATTATAGCTTGCCTTCTGGATGAACGAGGTGACAACAAAACTACCCTTACAGGTAGGGGCAGGTAACTGAGTTAGCCCTCCAGAAAGAGACAGAGGGATAAATATATAATATTTTTTTTAAAAAATCGGACATTCCGATAATGCAGGTCAATAACAGAGCCATTGTTCGGATGATATGAAAACTGAACAATCATTTTAAGATGGATACAGATCATGACTATCAGAAGGCATCATTCCACTGGTATGGGCTGTGAATGTTGGGAAGATGTTGACTTCTCATCACTGTCACTGACCGGTTCCTGTTTCACGTGTATGGGACCATCGATCGGCTCACCAGACAGAGCGCTGATTGCTCGGTTAACAGCTGCGACATCCGCAGCAAAACTGTTCTGGTCATCGCCTGATTCCGACGGTTTTGGTGAGGGTGTGCAGATCCGTTCGCTATTCGTGCCGTCAGTTTGGTTATCGAGGTCAACGACATAAGGTCTCTGACGGACTCTGCTTGGAAGAAGGATTTGTGAACAATCGAGGCCTCCTGAAGGAAAAAAAAAAAAAAATTCAAGATTAATAGAAATATCAACAATTCAAATATGTGCAAAACATGTTGAAAAACAACTAAATAAATATAACAATCATGGTAACAAGGTAAATAAAAAGCAAAAATTAATAAAGTTAATAAATAATTAAATCATTTAAATGAATACCCTACAAATGTGACCTTGTGCCACACTAATTTTACTGTAAAGAAATAAACATTAAAATAAAACTATTTTCCTTATAAGAAAACATTCAGCATTCATTGACCAAACAGTTAGCATTGCTGTCAGTTGAAATTTATAAAATCTTTTTCTTGAAACAGTTTTTCAGTTATTGCTCTTCCAAGTATTGATGGGGTTTTCCTTCCTAACCTTTTGTTTAAAGTCGTGTGAATAATCAACATTTTGATTATGTCATTATTTTCTCTTTAAGTTATATATGCTATCCTTTTTAGTTGTTGTTCAAATTTCTTAAGTGATGTGGTTTCTGTTATTTGGTAAAGGTCTTTGCGATTATGTAGTGCTAGTTTAAGAGATTCAAGGAGGATAGTTCTTTTAAGATCTACAGGTTTCATTTGCAGCTTGGAGTCATTTTCAATCATTGATCTGAGTCAACATTTGTATATAACTTATTGTTCAGGCATTTCGGAAGGAGTTTGATGCCATGCTATAACATCCATATAAGAGTCTAGATCTGGCAAGAACATGACCTAAGTTTTTAGGTTAAGGTTTTGATTTTGTATCATCTTGCAGTATTGTGTGAAACTACCCCTAGCACAACTTAATCTCAGTTCAATTTCCTTATCTCCTATACTAAATTGGCTGTAACTGATCCATACACTGATGTATTTGAAGTGTTTAGTATTTACTAGTTCCACATACTGAACGTTTATGATGGCTTCAGGGTAGGTACCGTCATTGCTTTCATTCCAATTCCAGATAACAGTTTTTGTTTTGGAAACTTTTATCTTGAGCCCTATGTATATACATAATATAGAACATATTCTGCTTGTGAACTTAGTCATTGCATATAGCTGATCTAAACTAATTTACTCTCCTTTGTTTGTTTGTTCAACCCCCGCCATTGCCAAATTTACCTATAGGCTTAGCAGGCTGAAGCCTAGGTCCTCAAAAATTTTTTTTATTTTTTTTTTTTATTGGGGGCCTGCAGTATAATATTCTTGACACTGTCATAATGCATTGTAGATTTTAATCAACCCATCAGTAATTTTTCTTACATTCCATTTCAGAATAATTTTGTCTTGAGCCGAAAACTCGCACTGATTTCTTCATAAATTTTTTTAATTTTAACATTCATGCATTTTTCAATCATGTACTGTATTTAACAATAACATCCTATGTCCTTTACATGAGGAATGGTCAACTGTGAAATTTAAACTCCTGTCATAATCATCGGCTTTTCTCAAACTGTTTAATTTAATACTCTTCTATTTTTCTCTACTTGTGAGAATGGAAGATTTGGAGAGGCCTCACAAGTGAAACAGTCTAGGGCCTCTCTTCATCTAAATTCCCCAACCCTGCCAAAATTTTGGTTATGTATATGCTGGCCATCTTCAGGTGTATTTTACAATCATGGGAAGGTGATAGGTTAAGAGAAGATGTTGCCAAAATGACCAAAAATTCAAACATGAAATATGGAATGTATGCAATGGCAAATGTATGCCCTTTTTAAGATTCGATGACAAGACACATGAAGAAGGCTATAGAGAGTAGAAAGCCAAAATAAAAAAAATCCAAACAAACCCACATACATATTATGCTCTAAAATCTTACAAAGTTATAAACTCTTAAAAAATTACTAGGTTGGGTCAATAGGAGCATAGCCTGATAACTGAATTTTGGTCTAAAATTTTCACTGTATAATGTTTCATCCAGGTGATTAATAATCCTCACTAAATTAAGTGTTCTGGCAAAAAAGATTGCACTGAATGCTTTTTTCCTAATTAGGCTACCGTTATTAATGTGTGTGGGTATATAACAGTTGTGAGACCAAGTGTTTAGAATATTAATTTTATGACCATCAGACCCAAATCTCACCATGGTCAATTTGTCAGGAAGGAGACTTCTTGATGTTATCAGTCTTGGAAGACGATCCCGGCATGCAGCATCTTTGAAAAATGCCTAAAAACCAAACCAATGGTTAACACAAGACTTGTAATTGAAACTAGGTAGATGGGACTGTTCAAAAGTGGTACTAGTACAGTTACAAGTCATTGTGACCAAGGGTTTGAGTGTACTGGCCTTGTTCAAAAACTGTTGCTCATGCCAAATTATGGAGTCTCTTTGAGAAACTGCAACCAAGATCTTCTCAGCATAATTACAGAATAAACCACAGAATATGGCTCTGCAGGTGTTAAACACAAATGTGCCTGAGCAGGCATCTGCAACAGGGACTAGCTTGCCACCCTAGCAGACACACACACACTTTTTATATATATATATATATTGTATTTAGGTAGCAAATGTTATTAAAGACAACGTATTTGGTGCCAATTAATTTTATTGATTAGCTTTTCAAAATTACAAATAATCCTCCTCAGATATAAGAGGAAGCTTGCATTCTCAAATGTATATAGCAAAAAACAAACAAATGCACACACCTTGCCTACACCACTACACTAGTTTTACTAAACTCACCATTTGTTTCTACCTACTCTGATGACTTAAGTCAAAAGCTTGCTCCATATTTCTTCAATAAAATTGATTGACACAAAATGTCTGTTGTCTTTAATGTGTGTGTGTGTGTGTGTGTGTGTGTGTGTGTGTAAAATTTCAGATACAACTTTTGTCATCCAAAATTAACTTTAATTATGCCATGATTAATGTCTGTGATCATTTAAACTTAGTAATTAAATTGCTTACAAAAGTAAAGTAGCCATAACATTTCAACAAATATTAGTTAATGATTACTTAACTAGATTTTGAAAAAAGATATTACTTACATTTTACTTAAAATATAGTAAAATTTGTTTACAACAGGTGACTGTTACTGGTCAGTTCAATGCAAAAATCAAGTAGATTTGAGTCAAGTTTACTTATCCATATAGGATGAAAGTGCATTTAAATTTCATGGACAAACTTGATATTACCCACAGTGGCAAAAATATTAAAATCATGACAGGCAACACTCTTAATATACATCATTTGTATATTTATTTTCTGATATGTGTTCTCTATTTTCAATTCCTTTAAAAGTGCTTTTTAATACATATAAAAATAACATTTTGTTTTATTTAACAATTTACAGTGCTGTTTCATGTTTTATGATTTTCAAAATGGCTGACTTTTCTTTATGTTGCTTTGATGAAGAATGGGAAAGAATTCAAAGATATGCAAATTATTTTCTATAATTTAAAGGATATAAGTGTAACACTATGTTGTCAAAATATATATATGGCCATTAAAAATAAAATAGAAAATCCCATTAGTAAAATGTAGTACAGTAAAAAATTAAATAAGAATATTATAAGAAATTACAATCTATGCATGAAGGAGAAATTATAGATTCTCGAATTTTAAGAACATGAATAATTTAATAAGCAAAAGGAAATTATTTTGAACTGTTGATACACTAATGCATTCCTTTGAAAAAATATGAAAAGAAACAATAAACCTTGGGAACACTTAAAAAGATCAACCATTTTCAGAATTGCTAAGCATGAAACAGCAGTATAAATAAAACAAAATGTTTTTTTGTTTCATATATATATATATATATATATATAGGTGTGTGTGTGTGCGCATATATAATATATAGATTTTTCAAATTTGATATATTTATGGGGGAAGAGTGTTCAATATCAGAGATAGAACATTTGCAGATATAAACAGTGTGGACACAGAAATCAATACTGCAGGGTGACTGTCAGTTTTAGATCTTGACTGATTTTTAGACCATGTAGTGGCATGAAACTGACAGTCACGATGCAATGTTGATTTCTATGACCACATAGCCTATATTTTTTAAAATTATATCACATATTCTTATAAGTTTAATATTTATATAAGTTTTTTTCTTTAATATACTTTTATACTTAACTAATTTATAAATTACTTATTTACATAGAAGTGCCTTCCTTTCACAAGTTTTTATCTTAATTTAGTTCTAAAATGAAAAGAAGTTTGTTTTGAAATTTTAAATTTAAGCATTTTTTTTTTCATTATTATTATTTTATTACTATTTTTACTTCCGGGAGTAAAACAAAAAAAAATGAAGGACATGGCAGAACGACCATATTTTATCATCAATGATTCTGTAGTCAAAGTGTTTAAGATGATGGCTTCAAAAATGGGCTCTCATGTGGGATGAGAGTTCAAATCTTGATTTCTGACTTCATTTTGCTTGCTCCAGCACTTGAGAAGCATACTGACCATGTACTGTGACAAAAAGCAATAAATAAAACTAGTAATAATAGTATAACTAAAAATATTGTCTATTTAATGTAACTTTAAAAAATTTCCCCATCAGACAATTTTGAAAGATTAAAGTGGAAAAGAAAATAAATTGCGGTTATTTGGTTAAGAAAGTATAATTACTTTTTGTAAATGTTTTAAAGTTTATATTCTGATGATGGTATAAATAAACATTGAAATATTAACAAAATTAACCAGACATTATAATCAAATTTTGATTACCTGTTTTACTTTCATCCTACTATAACTCCTAGTTTTTTTAAATAGTATCTTAAAAAGAAAAAACGTAGACGTATAGGTACATCAGAAATAATGTGTGCTCAGACAGCAATTCTTCATTAATATATGTTTGATTAAAGAACACAGACAAGAAAAAAAATGTTTATCTGAGGCCTTTAGCCAAACATGTACAACAGAAATAGGGTATCTCAGAGTGGCAGTAGGAAAGAGAAGACACATCAAAAATGTAGTTTCAGGTATGAGGCATTGGAAACATCATCAACGTAATAGGGGTGAGCCATTAAAAAAGTTATTATAGTAGCAGTGGGGATGCAGTGGAAATATC